ATGGTCCAAGATGACTCATCAGCACCATGTCCATAGCCTAGATAGAAGGAAGGTGAAAAGGAAGGGGGAGACTCACTCCTTTCCTTTAAAGACATGTCCTAGAAGTTGTAGGTGTGGTTCTGTTCATATCGCATTGGCCCAAACAGAATCACGTGGCCATTCCTGGCTGCAAGAGAGGCTGGGAAATGTAGTCATTATTATGGGCAACTAGGTGTCTAGTTAAACACCAGGAGGGGCTGGCTCTGTGGTTGAGTGGTTAAGTTTGCATGCTCCACTTTGGAAGCCCAAGGTTTTGCCAGTTTGGATCCTGGGCACAGACATGGCATACTCATCAAGCCACGCTGAGGCAGCATCCCACATAGCACAACTAGAAGGACCTGCAACTAGAATATACAACTATGTACTGGGGGACTTTGGGGAGAAGAAGGAGGAAAAAGAACAGTAAGCATTTCATAGGTTATGAGGATTAAATGAGACAATGCATGCAAAGTTCCTGGTATATAGTTACATCTAATCAAAATAAGTTATTATTTTGTTGAGTGTTGTGAACCTACAGGTAAATAAACAAGCAGTTCAGAGTACAATGGGGGTCACAGAAAAACAGGGAGTTAGAGAATTCTGCTGTAGAGGAAGTGATCCTAGGAGCTGAAGAACATAGAGGAGGGGCTCCCAACCCGGGGAGTTTGTGGTAAAAAGGGAGAAAGGATATTCTTAGAAGAGACAATGACACCAAGGCAAGAGCCTGGTGTCTTCAGGGAAATACAAATTGTTTGGTAGGGCTAAAGCCCAGAAGCATGTTAACCACTGAGAGAAAGGGACAGAGAGATAGATGAGAGCCAACAGTGGAGGGCCTCCCAAGTCAAGCTCAAGAGGTTGGGTTCTATCTTGTGGTCATTGAGTGCAATGGAGTGCTATGAGCAGGGGAGTGACTGGTCACATTTACACTCCAGAAGATTACATGGTTGCTTCATACGGAGTGATTCCCAGAAGGCAGAAGATAAGAAACCAGATCAGAACTGGAGCAACCATCCAGACACCAAGCAGCCAGAACTAAGGTAGTGAAAGAAGAGGGAACCCCGGGGCAGCGGGTAGGGGGATGGGTGGGGTGGAGCTGGGGAGATAGTAGTTAAGTTCATGCATTCACAGGTTAGCATCCTGGGCACAGGCCTAGCACTGCACATCAAGCCACGTTGTGGTGGTATCCAACATAAATAGAGGAAGATTGGTACAGATGTTAACTCAACAACTATCTTCCCCAAGCAGAAAAAAAAAAGAGGATGATTGGTAACAGATGTTAGTTCAGGGTGAATCTTCCTTACAAAAAAAGAAGACAGGGTGCCGGTCCCATGGCCAAGTGATTAAGTTCCTGTGCTCCACTTCGGCAGCCCAGGGTTTTGCCGTTTCAGATCCTGAGTACAAACATGGCACTGTTCGTCAGGCCACATTGAGGCAGCATCCCACATGCCACAACTAGAAGGACCCACAACTAAAAAAATATATACAACTATATACTGGGGGAATTTGGGGAGAAAAAGCAGGGAAAAAAAAAGATTAGCAACAGCTGCTAGCTCAGGTGCCAATCTTAAAAAAAAAAAAAAAAAAAAGAGAAAGAAAATTCCTGTCCCGTCTTGAGGTAGCTCTCTCTTAACTCAGCCTTATCACAGCTGCGTTAGCATCATTTAAATTACTAGGGAAACATCTTCTTTGATAACGTTTCTCTATAAGGATGATCAATCATCACGGTTTGCCCAAAACTGTACCAGTTTTTGCACTGACAGTCCTATGTTCCAGGAAACTCGTCAGTCCGGGGCAGACCAGGACAGTTGCTCACCTAACCTTTAGAGCCTTATAGAGAGGCAGTGTGGTGTAATCGTTAAAAGCACATTCTGGAGCCAGATTGCCTGGATTCAAATCCTAGCCCCATCATGTATCAGGTATACGGCCTTGAGCATGTTACTTTATCTCTCTATAGCTCAGTTTCTTTCCCCATATGAAAAATGGGGATGATGCAGTGTAGTAACTACCTCACAGGGTCATTGTGGGTATTAAATGAATTAATATCTACTGAGTATTTAGTATATATTGTGCCTGGAACATTTTAAAATTATAGCTGTTATAAACCTACTGCCTTCTGGTTTATTTCACTTCTGTCCCACATCCCCTTGCTCTGTCATCGTTTCTTGGATGTCTCTAGACCCTTCACTTCAAGCTCTCAGTCACCTGACCCAAGGATGGTGAGAAAAAGTAACTCTGTGACTCTGGAGACTCTCTGGCCACTGGGTAGTCTCTGAGAGTATTAAATTGAACAGAATTAAAGGCTTTTTTAAGACTCTCTCCCAAGGTGCCTACCTCCTGACATCCTCAAGAATGGGGAAGTCTGCACCTATTTCCTTTGAAAATAAATTCTACACAATGGTCTGCCTAGGAGTTGCATGGGATAGGGTGGGGCGTTTGTAAGTCTTATGTGGTAGTTCTGTGGGGGCCTCAGGGACACGGAGGGAGACTGATTCTTCCCCAGTGACACATTTGCCAAGAAACTCTGTCAGCTCTTCTAGCTGACAAAGTAAGGTTTCGGGCTGGGACCTTCCTAGGAGGGAAAGAGGGGCCTTAGCTGTGCCTACCGAATGAAATAGTCATTGGAAACTCTGCAAGGAGAGGAAGTGAGTTGTTGTAAGCAGGATCTAGTGGTGGCTTTTCCAGGGCACCTTGCCACATCTGATTCAATCTGTTTATGAAAAGTGCAAAGAAAGCGAATATTTTCAATCAATATGATGATTTAAACCTGTGTTAGAGATGAAGCTGGGTAACAGGGCATAACAAAGGCTAGGTTATTTACCCCATGGCTCACCAGAGAAAGTGAAAGTATGGGGCCTGCCAGAGGTCAGAGCTAAGAACAGGAGACTCTGCCCAAGAACAGGAAAAGAATAAAATCAGGGAGACCAAAGCCTAGTAAGTGTATCCACATCTCTCTCACCCCAGCTCGCCCCAAGTGGGAAAAGCTCATCGTCTTGTAGAACAAGAAGAGGAATACAATGGGGTTGGGTTGAAATCTGGACAAAACTCCACATGCATCTTGTAAACAGGCACCAAAAAGCACTAGCGCAGAGGAACATTTTCCCACCCTCAGAACTGTACCTACGACAAGGTGACTAAAGCTTTTCCCTGGAGCACCCATATTTAGCAGCTCAAAAGTTTTTAAAAAAAGATTTTTTTAATTTTGAGAAGCTAGAAATTTTAATATTTTTCCTTTTATAAACTAGAAGAACATGAGTGAGTATAGCACCTAGTAAGCAGGAAATTTAGTTAAAATAGGAAGCCCCACGTCGTCCACCTTGTTACTAACTCTCACATGTAGCCAAAGCAACTCCAGGTTCTGTTTGACCAGTTTAGCCACCACAGTGGAAAGAGACAACGCCTCTTCCTTTATGGTTCCAGAGAGAGTCTCAGGATTGGATATTCCTAGTCTCGCTTGGGTCATGTGCCCATCTTTGAAACAATTACAATAGCCAGAGGCATGAAATGCTCTGATTGGCCAGGTACAAGGCATACAGCCGTTCCTGGAAGGTTAGAGTATCAGTCCCACGAAGCATGTGGACTGAAGGTGAGGGAAAAGCGTTTTCTTTACAAAAGAGTAAATTATGACTATCAAAAGAAGAGGCAATGGATGTCACAGAGGGAAAAAAAATAAATGTCCACTATACCTTAGCTGCCAAAATTTCAACTTTTTCAATCCTCTCTCCTAATGAACAGGCCAATTCCATGTCAATGGGTACATGAACTTCATGATGGTACACCCCTTTTCTTCCCCAGATAGTGGTGGTCAGGGACCTCAAGGAAGCAGCCTTGCTTTGTAATGGAGTCCTTGGATCATTGGATGTAGAAAATCTCATCTAACGGGGCTGAATTTAAAACAATGTTGTTTGGCTTTTCTAGCTCAGAGACACTAAGGACTGTCTCTCTGTTTCACTAAAGGCAAATTATAGCAAGCGCTGTTGATAGAGATGTGGAAGTTACCACTTCCTTTTGTCCCCTCTGCTAAGGTCAAATGCCTCCGCCTGGTTTTGGGAAGGTGGTATAGTGTGGCTGGCTGTGGGTAAGTAGCCACAATGACCTCATAGATCTTCGTCTTTCTTACCACAGTCATTAGTAGAATACACAAGAGGTCACTGGCAAAAATACCTATCCTAGAACATCAGAATCTGAGGGTAGAAGGCCATATAGAATCAAGAGGCAAACTCTCCAAGGGACCCTATCAGTCTATCCATTTGTCACATATCTCCATTGTGTTCTGCCATCTGAAGTATAGGATCCTGTATAAAATTTCCAGAAAAGAATCCTAAATTCAAAGAGCTGGAAGGGATCTTTGTGCTCTTCTAATCTACCTCCTCACTTTATAGTTGAGGAAAATGAGGCTCACAAAAGAGAAGGGATTTGCCAAGGACATAGCAAATTGGTGTCTAAGCTGAGACTAGAGCCCAGGAGTCTTGGGTTCCCTTCCAGAGTTCCTTCCATGCCACCCTGAAGCCTCTCTTGGGCAGGTTCTAGCAAGACTACTCAGTCTCAAACAGAAGAATTTGGAATCAGAAATCTCCATTTGTCCTGGGAATATGGAACTCCTTTTTGTAGCCACTTACCCTTGGCTGTACCTAAACATACAGGTCTTGAAAAGGGCCTCAATCGCAGAGCACAAAGAGAAGATGAGATAGAAAAAGCTCCTGGCTCTGCTCCCTAGAATGAACCTGGTGTTCTTTCAGACTTGGACTATTTATTGGGAATTCTCGGTACTCCATAAACACACTAGGATGTCTAAGATATCCTTAGCAGTGTATGCTAAGTGTTGTGCCTGCAAGATGTTTTTTCTGGATCGGGATGAGCATAATCTCCTCAGCATCTCAAAGGGGCTGATAACCCTCAAAAGGTTAAGAACCACAACTCTAAATTGATCTTCCAAATGTGGCTTGTCATCAGCATTAACAGGGAAGCTTTAAAAGTGTCAGTACCTGGGTCCCTCCTCCTGGAGAAGTGAATCCAGTGGATCTGTGCTGGGCCCAAAGAGTCTGCATCTTCTAAAACTTCACCAGGCTTACCAGCTGCAGCATCTAGAAGAAAATATTAACAGAAATGCTTCCCTAGAAGAGAGAAGGAAAAATTACTTCAGGACTTGTCACTTTAAAGCCATTCTAATGTAAATGCTTCAGGTGTTTATCACAAAGAGAAAATTAGAATTCCTGGAAAAGAGAGGGATCTGAAATCCAAGAAGCCAGAGGGAAAACAGTAGAATTCAGAAGGCGGCCAAGGTTCTGTTCTCTTGCATTGTGACTACGGCTTACACCTGGGCAAATCGGCTCTTAGCCCATCCTTTGCTTCCCCGACTCTACCCTCCAGGGACTGTCAGGTCTGTGAATCCTCAATCCTCTGGGCAGGAGAGCATCAGTGCAAATCCACCACTTCTTGGCATTTTTATAGTTTGTAAACAAAAAACTACACATACATTGACTTTGTTCATTTATGCATGAAACGAATATTGAAGTGCCTACAGGACGCTGGGTACTGCTCTAGCAGTGAGTAAACTAGACACCTTCCCAGTGCTCTCAGGATTCTTCCAGTCCAGCGTAGGTGCTGGATTCGTTTCATAGACTGACTGAGAATTGGGGTTATAAAGTGACCTTTCCCCTTACTTTAGTGGCTCTATCACACTAGCTTCTCTTCTATTCCTGGAACACATCAAGCGTTTTCTTTCCTCCAGGCTTTATATGTGCTTGTTTGCCTCTAGAACACTCTTACCTGCACTCTGCCTAGTCGCCTACAACTAAGCCTGTGGGTGTCACTTCAGTGGCCTTTTCATGAAGAGGCCTTTGACTGGCTCCTCAATTTAAAGTAGTTCCTCTGTTATACTCGCAGAGCACTTTACGCTTTTTCTTCACGGCATTTATCATAGTTTTTAATAGTATGTTTATTTGTGTGATTATTTTTAAACCTCACTTTAAAAAAGTAATGCATACAATACCACAAATGAAAACAGTATAAATCGTATACCAGGAAAAGAAAATTAGTTTCCTGCTCCTGACCCACTGATTCTCAGTTCTTCCCACAGGCAAAAGCTATTATCACATATTCTATAAATATTCTGCGAAGTTTTGTGGGTCCATGTAATTATTTATTAAGTGGCTATCTCCTCTGCTAGACCGAGGGTAGGTACTCTGTCTATTTGTTCCTTGCCTTATTGGAGCATAATCAGCACTTTATAGGTGTTGGTGGGATGAATGAAAGGATGTTAAAAGAACAGAGAGGGGCTGGCCTGGTGGCGCAGCAGTTAAGTTCGCTCACTCCGCTTTGGTGGCCTGGGGTTTGCCAGCCCAGATCGCAGGCATGGACCTATGCGCTGCTAAGCAAGCCATGCTGTGGCAGGCCTCCCACATACAAAATAGAGAAAGATGGGCACAGACATTAACTCAGGGCCAGGCTTCCTCAGCAAAAAGAGGAAGAATGGTGGCGGATGTTAGCTCCAGACTAATCTTCCTCAAAAAAAAAAAAAAAGAGAGAGAGAGGGATTAGGTCAATATCTAAACATTATTGAGCCCTAAGGGACCAATGACCTGGAACTGGGTCCTTTTGCCCGGAGTCGCTCACACCAATAGAATGAGCCTGGGTTCACAATAGCAGAGCAGAAACTTTAATTGTTGATGAAGGAATGGATAAGTGAGAGCTCCTTCTCTAAAACACGTTCTCCCTGAAGACAGGGATGTGGGGAACTTTCAAAGGGCAAGGGGTCATGGCATCATCAGGGTTCCAGAAAAGGGGCCAAGATTTCTGGGAACAGTTGGTGCATTCGCAGTCCTCCAAACTCCTTTGCCCATCGCACCAAATGTGCCTGGCAGTGGGGGAGATTTTTATATGGTAATGAAGCACAGGCAACTTCAGGTGACCTCCAAGGCCCTCTGCACAGGGGCTGCTCCTGTGGTCGAGTTAGAGCTGGTTTAGAGTGGTTTGCAGTTGTGATTTCTCTGAGGTGGAAGCCCAGCTCAGCTGAAAAACATCTCAAAGGAAGCTGTTAGGTGTGGGCCAAAGCTAAGTTTGTCTGATAGGAATACATGTTGGTACACTAGGGATATGTATGTGTGACGTGAACTGCCAGCACTCGTACATCTTCCATGCCCCCGTTCAGCGCTGAGCACATAGTAAACTTTGTTGATGCTCCTGTGCTGCCCTAACTCTCAGTTTGTACCTCTATGACAGCAACTTCTCACACGATGCTGAATTACAGTTCTCTTGTCTGTCTCTCCCAGTATTCTGGGAGCTCCTTGAGGGCAGGGACCGTGGTTTACTCTTCTGGAATGCTGTGCTAAGCATCCCAGAAGTCAATGAACACTTTCTGACTGGCTGCTTGGCTAATGTGACTCATCGGACTGTTGGCTCCTTTGCAATTCTGTTCTCAAACTCTGCAGTTTGCAGCCTGTCAGAGAAGTTCAGAGTTGCCATTTTTTCAATAAAGACTAGCATTTTCTTCAAGATCTCTAGTTTAGAGAGATGCATTTCACTTGAGGCTTACTGCGGATTCTCATTTCTTTTTTGACTCAGTTTCCTCATCTATAAGATAGGGGATAATCGTGCCGACCTGCCAGAGTTGTTGAGAGAATTAAGTGAGGTCTTATGTAAAAGCACCGAGCACATCCAGGCAGTTCATTTCCCCAACCCCTTTCAGCAAGAAGAGTCTGGTTGCCTATTTTGCTAAAAAAGAGAGGATGTCTCTGCCTGGGAATTAGGGTGAGGCAGACAGGAACTTTAATTCCAACCGACCTCCATTCAGACATTATTGAGACAATGAGATGAGAATCACTAATAAAAGAAAAAATTGCCCTTTTTGAACAATGACTTGAAATGTAATGATTGCATGTCAAAGAAGCTGCTGAGAGATGCATCCTCAGGGCAGAATACAGAAACTTAGGCGGTCCCTCAAGGCCATATGCAGTCTGGTCCCTGCCTACCCCTTCTGTCTCATCTTGCAACACTCCCTTCCTCCCCCTAGGCTTCAGCCACACTGAACCTCCTTTGTTCCTCTACACACCCTTTTGATGCCATCTCTTTGCATACGGTCTTCCATCTGCCAATCACTCACCTATCCTAAGCTTAAAAATCTCTTTGCCAAGATCTTTCTTGACCTCCTGAACCAGAGTAGGTCACTGTGCCACAGGCCACTCCGCAGAACCTTCTTCTTCCCCTTTCATAGCACTCATTACAGATGTTAGTTCCTGAATGGCCTTCATTCAACCATCTGTTTATTCAACAATTATTTCCAGAGTTTCTACTATGTGCTAGGTGTTGTTCTGGAGTGTAGGGATACAGGGGTAGGCAAGATAAGTCAGAGATCCTGCTCATGACACTTACATTCTAGTGAGAGAGACAGACAATAAACAAATAAATTAATATAGGGACCTCTGTCTAATTCATTACTGCCTGTTGCTGCACTGGACATTGTACCCAACGCATAGCTGATACTCCACAAATGCTTGTTGAGGTAAAAGAAAGTGAAATGAGAGTGAGTGGCAGCCAGCCTCAGGGAAGAGGCAGGGATGGCCAGTGTCAGAGCCAACATGACCAGCTACTCCTGGATCATTTCATCCTGAAGATCTGTCCAACTTGGGTCCCACAGGAGGGACCAAAATGGGTTGGACCCTACCCTCTCCTATTGGTCTCCAAGAACATGAGCCTGGAGAGGGGAAGAAGTGGCCTATCTTCATTTCTGTCTGCCCTGCACCAGTGTAGGCATGTAAAAATGGGGATAAATGAATGGGTGCAAGCCTCAGACTTGCCAAGTGATCTTAGCCACTCTTATGCCAGAGTCTGGCTAGCTGGTTGCTAAAGTCCTTTCCTCTTTCTCGTGGACACCCATTTAGAGTTCATTTTCCCGCTTCTCTTATAGTTAGGTGTGACCTCGTGATGAGCTTTTGTCAGTGGAATGTGGATGGAAGTGATAAGATCTCCCCCACACAATCATTCTTGCTTTTTCCACATCAGTGACCTTGGAAGCCGTGTATTAAAGATGTCAGAGACACAAGATGGAAGGACCCGGGTCCCTGAACTACTACTTGGAGAAGAGCCTCTTATTTATTAGGAGCACCCATTTTAGACTTTATCTGTGTGAGAAATAAACTACTGTGATAGGCTACTGAGGCTGAGGGTTTACCCGTTAGAGCAGCCAGTATTATCTTAACTAAACAATTCCTTACTCTCTCCAGGCCAATGACACCTCTCTAGCCCAGAGCCCTCTCCTGGGTTGCAGACTTGGCTCTGTAGCTGTGCACCAGATATACCTACTGACATGGTGGCCACTACTTCAGATTTAATGTGACAAAACCTGGACTTGCTTTCTTCACCTCCAACCAGCTTCTCCTTCTCCAATGTAACCCATCTCAGTGGACAGCACCACTTTCCACCCAGGCATCAAGCCTAAAACTGAGAGTCATCCTTGACTCCTTTTCCCTTTCTCTCATCCTCCATATATCTCCATGTATCTCTTCTTCTCCGCTGCTACTACCCTCAGATTCTACTACCTGGATACTGTAACAGCACACACTAACCTGTCTGCCTACTTTACTGTGGTTACCCCTCTAGTCCCTTCCCCACGCTATAGCCTGAGTCACCATGCCACTCCCTACTCACACTCACTTTAAAACCCTAGGCTGGCTCCCCATCACCCTGAAGATCCAGTCCAAACTCCTTGGCACAGTCTTGAAGGCCCTACATGGTCTGGCCTAGCCTCCCTCTGCAGCCTCTTCTGCTGACCCCAACCCAGATGTCTACACTCCTGTCACACCAAACTCATTTCAGTTCCTCATTCACATCATCCTCCCTCTCTGCTCTGACTGTTCCCTCTGCCCGGAGTACTCTTAACTCACCTTTTCCCTTGGATCATAGCTGCTTATTCTTTAGGCCTTAGCTTGAATTTCACTTCCTCAAGGAAGTGGCTCCCCTGACCCCTGGAGCAGGCTCAGTCACCTGGCACCTCCTACTGCCCTACTGTTAGAGTGCAAGCTTCTAGAGGGCAGGACCTGGGTCCTGTTCACCTTTGTGTTCTTAGCTTCTAGAACAAACTAGGAATCACTGTATGTCTGTTAAATGAATACATGTGAGCAGTGAACTAGTTCCATAATTGCCAACTTAAAGTTGCAATATGGCATCTCTTGGCAGCCTCTTAGGACTTTCAGTGCTCTTTTA